CTAACTCTAACTAACAAGGTCACGGGTTCAAGTCCCAAGTCGGCCGAATGTGGCGCTAAACTTGAGCTCCCTAAAAAAAAGCTAGTTCAGAGGTCAGATGGATTCAATCCCTGAGTCCTTCGATCTGTGCTTCGCACCAAAACCCACTGAGCTAGTTCCTACTTCGATTAAAAAAAGAGCAGCTCAGACATATATTGAAGTGGGGCTCAGTCCGCCTAGTGGTCAGGGCTCGTTTCTAAATCTGTGTGCGCGCACGCTTGCCGACCGGTATGCCTGCCCGTCTGAATGCTTGTCGGCGTGAGTGTGAGTGTGACCCGCATGGGTATTCAGTTGATCGGAAGGCCCGAAGGGCCGGTGCTTTGCCGTGGCCCCGACATTGAGGGTCACGGTGGGGAAAACACTCGAGAGGCGAGGAAAGAAGAGGTCTGCGGTAGCTAAGAACCGTAGAAAATACTCAAGCAACAGGTAGGTCGGTACCATACTAAGTAGAGGTAGATGTGCCGGGTAGTCGAGGCCGAGTAGGAGAAGACAAAAGTTAGCATTTTTAGATGCTCAATATCTAGTAGGTAGACAGGAACCAGCCCAGGTCTCAGCGTGTATCATAGGCCTACCTGACACGATACTGACCCAATCAAGCCCTCGACCTTTTCGATCTGATGGTATTGCTACTAATCCTAACCATCACAGTGCGCGTCAAGACAACGCGCGCACAGACTCTCGAAATTTTCTCACCGATTCGCCTCGACCTCAATGGCCGAGGAAATCGTTTCAAGTGTCACGCCAAAGCGTGCACACCCATTTCATCTCAAATCGGCTCCATCATGGTAGCCGACGCCGTCACCGTGTCAAACGCAAAAGCATGGCCAAATACCCTTGTAAGGGTATTATGTCCGACAACGCTAACCCAAATGTTATTTCCAAGGGAATTTTCTTTGTCTATTTTTCTTGACACAAAGTTGATGATGGCAATTGGGAATTAGTTTCTTTGGTCCTCTGCCTTTTTTACAGTCTGACCAATGTTCGTTTCTTATAAGTTCTCTCAACTGTGTTGTTGGTGGATGACATTAAATTTTCTGCAAAACTATTATATTATTGACGTGGCTTCTTCGGGTGTCTTCAGTTTGGAAAAAAAAATATTTCCTAATATGTTGTCATGAGACATTGATCGCAGGGCTAACTGTGTTTTCTTAAAAACCATTTTTTTTTGGTCTTGTTATGAAACATAAACCTGAGGTCTAAATCCGGTCCTGAAAACTAGTTTACCGAAAAGCGTATTGCAAAATTTGGCGAAATGAACTTTCGTTTCGGTCCAGTTTTCACGAACTGCATGTTATATTCCTTAGTATATATGAAAATCAAAACATTCATGCGCACTTCTTAGCGGCCTGGTGTTGGTTTGGTGGGAGGTGAAGCAAGATATGGATCCAAGTGCAACGAGAAACCCCCCGCCTACCCTGCTTTACTTAAAAAAAATAATATTCTCTACTATTGTTTAGAAAAAAAAATTGTTCATGCGCACTTCTTAGCTGCCACATTTTGGGTTTTGCGTGTGGAGCAGCATGATGTGGAACCAAGCCCGAAGTGAGGGGGGGGGGGCGGGGCGGAGCGCCCCCCCCTCCCCGCTACTTGAATTAAAAAAAAAATACATACATTCCTTAATATATATGAAAATCAAAACATTCATGCGCACTTCTTAGCGGGCCGATGCGACTTTGGTGGGTGTCACTAGGTGGTAAAGCAAGATATGGATCCAAGTGCAACGAGAAGCCCCGCCTACCCTGTTTTAAAAAAAAAGAATAATTATATTCTCGAGTAATCTTTCAAAAAAAAAAAAATTTGCAGCGCACTTCTTACCTGCCACCGTTTGGGTTTTGCGTGTGGTGCAGCATGATGTGGAACCAAACCCGAAGTGGGGGGGGAGTGTGCGAGGGGGGGGGGGGGGCCCCACTACTTGAATTAAAAAAAAAAATACATATATTCCTTAGTATATATGAAAATCAAAACATTCATGCTCACTTCTTAGCGGCCCGGTGCAGGTTTGGTAGGTGGTGAAGCAAGATATGGATCCAAGTGAACCGAGAAGTCCCCCATATACCCTGTTTAGAAAAAAAAGAATAATATTCTATACTATTATTTAAAAAAAAAAACTGTTTATACGCACTTCTTAGCTGCCGCATGATGTGGAACCAAGCCCGAAGTGGGGAGGGGGGATGGGGGGAGCCCACCCACCCCCCTTACTTGAATTAAAAAAAAAAAAAACATATATTCCTTAGTATAAATGAAAATCAATACATTCATGCGCACTTCTTAGCGGCCCGATGCGGGTTTGGTGGGTGGTGAATCAAGATCTTGACACAATGTTCATGATTGACTAGCCTCTCTGCTCTTTTACGTGAGGGAATTGCCCGCACCGCGGGCGGTAAGCTAGTTGGGATTATAGGTCCCCGTGTGAGTATGCCCTGAGACCACCTCCGGAGGTGGTCTCAAATTACCTTTCGTTTTTTTTTTTTTTTTCATGAAGTGAAGAAAATCGTAGATGAAGAAGACAGCCCACCAAACGACTGGAAGTGCGACCAGAAACATTTACGTTGTAGCGAAGGCCCACGTGTTATACTGGGTGCAAAAAAAAAAAAAAAAAAAATCTTATATTTTTGTTTGGTCCTCGCCCACTAGTGGGCAATGAAGTTGGGGAACGAAGACCGTCCATGTGCGTGACGCAACACGGACCCGTAGATAGTGAATGATCTGATGGGTAAGATTTTTCCGGTGTCGAAATTCAGGCATGCACTGTCTTTGTCATTCTGTCATTGACCGTGTATTTTGGCAGTTTTTGTTTTTCACAGATGTAGGGGTTTTCATTTGAAACTGTCGTGTGGATGGGTAAGGAATGAATGCCCAGTCGGGGGCTTTGACGACCCAACTGGAAAAATTTAGGATATTCGGATCCAACGGGGAGGGATTTCAAAAAAGAAAAAATGAAAAAAACAGTGGAGGGACCATGCCAGCACGCCGAAGAGGGTGATGCACATACAGTGCTAGGATTCGAGCCCACGACTTACGTTTCATTGAGCAGGACCTGTTAGCGAGACGTCCCTGCCTATCATACTGCGAATGTACAGAGCCTCAGGTGAATGATGAGACAGCTGGTGCAACTGCTCAAACCTCTTTCTTACGTTGACGCAAAAAAAGTCGAGCACTGTCGGCGTGTGTGTCGTACCTCCGTCTCGTTTGCGCATAAATGACAATTGGAAGCCATTGCCTGGGCAGGGGAGAAGGCGGGTTGGACGGGCTGACTGCTCAGCGAAGCAGACGATGCTGATGTGCCCGCAGCATGGCTTATGTGTGAGCATGGATGTGAGTGTTACGCTTTGGCGGTGCTTGGACGGATGTGGCTGCAGTGGCGTGTGGCTGAGAAGCCTGCCGACATGGCACAGTGGTAGTGGGTGATGATGAAAACCTCTTCCACGGCGGACTTTAGGTGAGCCTGCAATTACGGCGGTCAATAGATCTTTCGTCGATGGACGACACATACTGCTTGCCAGGACAGGGGCGTGGCAGTTATATTTCATGGGAATTTCGTCACATTCCTGTGATTACCGCGTTTGAAGTGCTTGTATGGAGTGCTATGTTTGTGGATGGTGCAGCATATTACACGGAGCACTGGGGCAGATGAGTCAGCCAACGGTCATGCAGCTTTCCACGATAGTGAAGGATCACTGAGGCGGATGTGTCAGGGAAGGTCATGAAGCTTGCGGGGACGGGCGTGGAGGTATGTGGTGCATACTGCTTGCGAGGACAGGGGCGTGGCATTCAAATTTCGTAGGCATCTCTTGTGATTACCGCGTTTGAAGTGCTCGAAAACTATGGAGTGTTCTCTTTGTGGATGGTGTAGCGTATTAGGCGGATGACTGGGTCAGATTTGTCAGCGAACGGTCATGGAGCTGTCCACAGCTAAGTGTCTGGTAGCGAACATGTGTGGTTCGTCCATGGAAGCGCGTGGAATTGGTTGAGTGCAACAGCGATTGTCCTCGTCTCACTGCTGTAACTTCCACTGTGAAAATGATTGTCATGATTGTCCGTTGACCTGTGGATGTATTTACTGTCACGACATTTTGAAAGTGGGTGCCGAGCAGCAGGAAGGCTCTCTCTCTCTCTCTCTCTCTCTCTCTCTCTCTCTCTCTCTCTCTCTCTCTCTCTCTCTCTCTCTCTCTCTCTCTCTCTCTC